GGGGGGGGGGGGGGGGGGGGGGGGGGGGGGGGGTCAGGATTAGGGTCAGGGTCACGGTTAGGGGACAGGATCAGGATCAGAGTTTCATGGTTGGGGTTGGGTTTTATGGTTAGATTTGGGGTCAGGGTGAGGGTTAAGGGTTGGGTGATTGGGTGCCGTGGGGTGATGGGGTGATACGGGGTGCTGTGGGGTGGCAGGGTGTGTGGGGTGCCATGGGGTGCCATGGGGTGCCATGGGGAGGCAGCGGGGTGACACGGGGGGACACGGGGGGGACTGGGGGTGCTATGGGGTGACATGGGACACCATGAAGGTGCCATGGGGTGGCTGTGGGTGTCAAAGAGGCGCCATGGGGTAACATGGATGCCTGCAGTGCTGTGGGGTGCCAAGGGATGCCATGGGGTGGGGGGTGATATTGGGGGGTGATGGGTGGCTGCGCGTGGCAGGGGGTGCGGAAAGGTGACATGGGGTGATGTGGGGTGACACAGCGGGGTGCCACAGGGTGGGATGGACATGGGGGCGGCTATGGGGCAGACATGGGGCAGACATGAGGTGGCCATGGGGCATCTATGGGGCAGCTATGGGGCGGCCATGGGGTGGCCATGGGGCAGCTATAGGGCAGTTACAGAGCAGCTATAGGGCAGCTATAGGGCAGCCATGGGGCATCTATGGGGCAGCTACGGGGCAGCCATGGGGCAACTATGGGGCAGCTATGGGGCGGCTATGGGGCGGCTATGGGGCAGCTATGGGGCAGCTATGGGGTGGCCAGTGGGCTGCTATAGGACAGCTATAGGGTGGCCATGGTGTGGTTATGGGGCAGCTATGGGGCGGCTATGGGGTGGTCATGGGGCTGCTATAGGGCAGCTATAGGGCATCTATGGGACATCTATGGGATGGCCATGGGGCAGCTATGGGGCAGCTATGGGGCGGCTATGGGGCAGCTATAGGGTGGCCATGGGGTGGCTATAGGGCAGCTATGGGGTGGCCATGGGGCTGCTATAGGGCAGTTATAGAGCAGCTATAGGGCAGCCATGGGGCATCTATGGGGCAGCCATGGGACAGCTATGGGGCAGCCATGGGGCATCTATGGGGTGGCCATGGGGCAGCTATGGGGCAGCTATGGGGCAGCCATGGGGCAGCTATGGGGCGGCCATGGGACAGCTATGGGGCAGCCATGGTGCAGCTATGGGGTGGCCATGGGGCAGCCATGGGGCAGCTATGGGGCAGCTATGGGGCGGCCATGGGGCGGCTATGGGGCAGCCATGGGGCAGCTATTGCGCGGCCATGGGGCAGCTATGGGGCAGCTATGGGGCGGCTCTCACCCTCGCAGCGCCGTTTGTCGGCCGCCAGCTCGTAGCCCGGCTCACAGCCGCACTTGTAGCTGCCCAGCGTGTTGATGCAGCGCTGCTCGCAGCCGCCGTTGTTGGGCCGCGAACATTCGTCCACCTCTGCGGGGAAACCGCGCGGCTCAGCGCCGCCCCGCGCCGCCCCCCGCCCCCCCCGCGCCCCCCGACCCCCACCCTTGAAGAAGCTGACGGCGAATCCCGCCTTGTTGATGGAGCCGTCGGATACGAACTTCAGCCACAGGCGGTTGGAGCTGCTCTTGATGTCGTCGGGTTTCTCGTAGCCGCAGAAGCGGCCGATCAGGGCGTCGGACTCCGAGGCGCCGTCGCGAACCTCCAGGTAATCGTAGGCGCAGCTGTCGTGGCGCTCGATCTGCGGGCGGCTGTCAGCGCTGCGCCCATAGGGGGCGCTGTTCCCCTCTGCGCCCATAGGGGGCGCTGCTCCCCTCTGCGCCCATAGGGGGCGCTGTTCCCCTCTGCTCCCGTAGGGGGTGCTATTCCCCTCTGCGCCTACAGGGGGCGCTGTCGGTGCTGCTCCAACAGGGGGCGCTGTTCCCCTCCGCTCCAATAGGGGGCGCTGTTCCCCTCTGCGCCCATAGGGGTCACTATTCTCGTGTGTTCCTATAGGGGGCGCTGTCAGCGCTGCTCCCATAGGGGCGCTGTTCCCGTGTGCGCCTACAGGGGGCGCTGTTAGTTCTACTCCCATAGGGGGGCGCTGTTCCCCTCTGCTCCCATAGGGGGCGCCGTTAGTGCTGCTCTTACAGGGCGCTGTTCCCGTGTGCGCCTATAGGGGGCGCTGTTAGTTCTACTCCTATAGGGGCGCTGTTCCCCTCCACTCCTATAGGGGGCGCTGTTAGTGCTGCTCCCATAGGGGGCTGAGCGGCCACGCTGCTGCCCCACAGAACCCCACGGCCACCCCATAAAAAACTCATACGCATCGCATAGAATCCCATCACCACCCCACTGCTGCCCCACAGCCATTGCAGAGCCCCACTGCCGCC